GTCTAGAGCTGCTGGTCTAGAGCTGCTGGTCTACAGCTGCAGGTCTAGAGCTGCTGGTCTAGAGCTGCAGGTCTAGAGCTGCAGGTCTACAGCTGCTGGTCTACAGCTGCTGGTCTACAGCTGCAGGTCTACAGCTGCTGGTCTACAGATGCAGATCTACAAATACAGGTCTACAGCTGCAGGTCTACAGCTGCAGGTCCAGAGCGATCTGGTTTTCAGAGGACACGACGGAGAGACAGACTCTGTTCCAGTTGTTATGAGTTTGTTTTTGTCACTTTGGCGTTTCATAACTCAGTTATTATTATTATTATTATTATTATCGTTCATATGGACACAAAACATCAACTTTTAGAGAACAAAGAGAGGAAAGGCACCTTGTTACTGAGATGAATAAGCATCATCATCATCATCATCATCATCATCATCACAACTCAAACGTCCCACTGCACATTTTAGTCCTTGAACTGGTTTGGAAGCATGAAAACTAACCCGGTTCCCAGTTATCAGTCTGCATCATCATCATCATCATCATCATCATCATCATCATCATCATCATCATCATCATCATCATCATCATCATCACTGTTTCTGTTCAAACATGACAAACCTTTGAAGTGAGACAGACCTGGAGTCAGCCTTTAAATAGAGACTCCAGGTCTCTGGTCTGAGACGGACCAGGATGAAGGTCTGGAGGTCTGGACTCCTCCCGTCCCCCTTTAGCTGCTCTATGTGAGTGTGTGGAGGACAAGGCACAGAAAACAAGCGCTCCTCTGAGGAGCTGCAGGGACGAGCTTATTGGCATTTAGAGAAGGCACAGAGAGACAGACAGGGAGAGAGAGAGACAGAGAGACAGAGACAGAGAGACAGAGAGACAGAGACGGAGAGAGAGAGAGACAGAGAGACAGAGACAGAGACGGAGAGAGAGAGACAGAGAGAGAGAGAGAGACAGAGAGACAGAGACAGAGACGGAGAGAGAGAGACAGAGAGAGAGAGAGAGACAGAGAGACAGAGACGGAGAGAGAGAGAGAGACAGAGAGACAGAGACGGAGAGAGAGAGAGACAGAGA